AGGCTTTCATAGCCGTGGCAACTCATAACTAGAGCCTAGGGTGATTACTGATGCCATAACCCAGAGTGTCAATTTGTTAAGTCAACAACAGGAGTCACTGTGCACTTACTCCTCATGTAGGATCTCTGTCCTTAATGTGCTGTACATTGTGATTTAATGCTATAACTAGTACTCAAACAGTATTTTTCACTTTGTGTTTCTGTGTGGGTGCAAACTGTTGAAATCTTTACTTTAATATATGCTAAACTGATATTCTGTATATATAGAGAATTGAAAATGAATCTTGATGTGAATGGAAGGGGAGAGAGAGAGGGAAAGGGGAGGGTTGTGGGTGGGAGGGAAGTTATGTGGGGGGGGGAAGCCATTGTAATCCATAAGCCGTACTTTGGAAATTTATATTCATTAAATAAAAGTTAAAAAAAAAAAAAGAATGAAACAAACACATGTCCGAAGGAAAGTGAGGCAGCTAACAAAGATCTTGAGTTCAATTTTGAACCAATTGATTGTGCTTTCAAAACACTGATTTCAAAATGCTCTTGCATAGTAAGACTTTTAAGAGATACTTCCTTACATAATGACAGTCTGGGGAAAAGCTAAAATCATGGGAATGAATGAAATTGCTCAAAAAGAGAAGGTATGGGGAGAAGAAAAGAACCCTACGAAGAATCTATTTCATAATTTGATTTATGAGAAGGACCTGGGACACAGAAGTAAAAAAAAATGTTATGAAGAAAGTAGGTATATAACTCAGTGTCAAAGGACATTGCTCAATAATTGTCAGATGCTTGGGGAAGATCAAATATAAAACAATATGAAAAGTATTTTTGTTTTCATTATCTATATGGGATACTAAAATACTTATAAATGAAAATATTTCAAAAACAAAAGTATTATCAACCACAGAAATTCCAGCATTCTTAAGACCTACCACTGGTATGTTTAAAGTATCATGCCCAGTATTTCATCAGAGTAATTGACAACAAAGGCTCCTTAATTTTACTACTTGAGTTTAAGGCCAGTCTGTCTTCAGCATCTGCGCAACCTTTGTCAAATTTTGTCACACTGGGCTTGTTTCCTAACTACAATATTAGGATATTATTGGTATTACACTTTAAGCTGTGGGTTTTTAAGTAAATCTATATAGTACATTGAAAACTGTGCATGATATGCAATATTAGTTCAATAAATTTTACTGGTGTTCCAAAGTCTTCCATAATTTATTCCCATACTTCTAAACAGAACCACATCCTCTACCCTTTAACCAGCACTGTATACTCCATTTCAGTTACTCTGATCGCTTCTCCCTCCATCCATGACAACAAGACCTACATGTGCATCTTACTAATGTTATGTCAACCTAGTCAATACTTATACACTACCCCTGGATAGTATACTCATGGCCTATGTATGGCTCTCCATGAAATCCTTCCACATGATTTCATTATTTATTATCTGCCAGGTATTCTACTGGGCATTAACAAAATAACACCTAGTAAGGTAAAGATGATCTGAGTCCACCACTGGAAATACTGAATAAATGACATATGCCCTGAATCATCAAAAATAAGTATTTCTCATGTATTCAATCAGTGTTTATTTACTGAAATCCTACTAACATATGCTCAAGAATCATTCCAGAGGCTGGGAATGAGGCAATGAACAAAAACAATGTGGAGGAAAACGATTCTTATGATTAATACAAAATGGAACAAGCACAGACCACGAAGATGCAGCAGAGAGAAGAACTGGAAGTGTGGTGTACTGGGAGACGAATGAAGAAGAGCTTGTCAATCCTGATGAGAGATCAGTAACAGAAACACCCACATTAAAAACTGTATTTCATTCCCTGGAAAGTACTTGTGCTTTCATAAGAACATTTTCAATGAAAAGTGAGTGTAAAAGCCTTTAAAAATGAAAGAATATAGACAACTGTTTCTAGCAGTTTTGGTACAAGGAGTTGCAAGTGGCAGCATAACCAACTGTTCAACAATGTTGGTCCCCAAAGATGTAATTTTTAATTCACAATATTGTAAAAATACTCCATATAGCTTTAGACCAGCTTTTTACATAAAGTTTTTATTCCACTCCCCATCAGCAAATATCTAAAGACTAGCAAAGTCTGTCAAAAACTCCACATACTTCTGTTTCTCCAAAGAATGAGGCACATGGGTATTTAAAGTTTCATATCATATCAGAAACTGGATT